ATTAATTTTAAAATTATACCTTTTACTTGTTCAGTCAAACACTATCGTAGTTTCCATTTGAAGCATAATTGTATATAGTGAATATACCTGCCATTTTTATGTACTCTGGTACAACTGCCCCTGTAAACCTTCTATTTAGCCATATTAATTATAAAGGTGACGTAGGTTATTAGGAGGATTGTCCACTTGGGTTGACTATGGAGTTTTGCTTAAATACTGAATGTATAATATCGCCTAAATTCCTTGGCATTTGCAGCAAATAACTATCTCTCAATTTTAGTCAAGAAAATTTCTGCTGTCAGGTTCTGCCATTGCCCTCATATTGAAAGCCTATTTTATAACATTACCATCTGTCCATTGTAATGAAAGTTAGAACAGGCTTTCATACTCACCCTACAATTTTTTGTAAAAGCATTGCATTATCCATACAACAAACAGTTCTGACATACTGACTGATAGATAATTACCTCCCCTTTCTCTCAGATGTTACTTTGTTCCAGGAAAATAAGAAACCCCCCACAAGAAATAATTTAATAAAATTATGTGTGTTGTGTTTCTGATCTATGATATGTTTCAAATAATCCAGTTTGTTCATTCTATATAAAGGAAATTATTTTATGAGATATTTTACTTATTGAACCTAAACCTGTAAATCTAGATCTGACACTTAGATGAGTACTTATTATGTATCTGTTTTCCCCTTGTTATTTATTTCCAGAATTTTCAGATTGCTGGAATTTTTCAAGGAAAGCTTGAATTAAATTTTTTTTTTGTTCTTCACATCATTTTTCTGCCAGAAATCTCTTCAAAAGTGCACTTATTTTAAGTGGAAAAGGCAATTCTCAAACACTTTGTATCACAAGGAAAATTAGAATTTAATGAATATCTGTACCTTCCTCCTCACACATCTTATGTTAGCTCAGATTATGGCATCAGACAGAACCTTTGGTTTTGTCTTTTTGCATGTCTGTGCCTCGAAATGGCATATCTGTTTTATGCTTTTCATCCACTTTTATGTTCTAAGCAAGATATCAAGGGAGATGATAAGTAAAATGTATGATGGACTGAGTTAACAAATGCTAATTTTATTTCACATAAAAACTATTGCTGTTAACTGGAAGATAATTTTGCAAAGCCTGTCTTGTCTAAGCTGGTTTCACCTTCTCTGCTCTCCTCAGGATATTTGCATATAATGTAAAATAGGGCTTTATGAAGAGATTATTTGAAATAGGTGGAGTTGTAATTTTACTTTTCCTATTGAAATTCTAGTGTAACACAAGGTTTGGTCAAACTGTCAGACTTTCTCTGCAATAGAAGGTTTTTAGGTCTTTTTTTTTTTTGTGTTTTGCAACATGTTTTCAATGTCAAGACATCTGTGCTGCTACAAATTCCTTTAAGCCCAGAGTCTTTAGACGATGCTGAATTTTTCCAGCGTTATGGTGGTCAGATCATACTCCATTTTATCCCTCAGTAAATGATACCTTGTATGGACTTCCTCCTCCTTATAATGCAAGGGCACTACAGCCCTTCCCAAAATATTTCTGGGGCTGGTCCACTGATCCAAGGTGCTGCCTCAGCTGAGGGGATGAGGACTGTGTAAGTGATATACCCTACGTAGGTACAGAGTGTAGGCATATACATATATGCATATATATTCTTTGCAATCTTCTATAGTTCTCTCTTGTAGTAAACCCTTTTCCTAATCCCTTCTAGGATTAGGTAAAAACTATATCTATCTAGCTATAATATAAAGGCATAAGATCTAGGGCAGGAATCTGAAAAGCAGGAACTCAGTATGTATCATTTTATTTCCAGCTTTTAAGGACACTGAGTTGTTACTGGTTTAGGGATATTCACATAAATCACTTTTTAAAGTTATTTTCATGTTTCATTTATGTTCTTCCATATCACTGCCCCCCGTATATGTGAACAGAGGGAAGACTTAATGGTGAATTCCTATGTGTATAAGTTTTTAACATAAAGATAAATTGGCACTAGGTATTTCAGTTCAGTAGTAACTTTAGATTTTCAGCACAAGGATGGAAGAATGTCTTCCTTTGAAAATCATGTATGTTTCACAGATTCTTTTGGTAAAATAGGATTCTTTTTTGAAAATTTGTTCTTGTACCACAACAAAGGGTCTATCTACCTCCTGCACAGCTGTTGTAATACCTGAAAAAGTATTTATAGGATAATACATTACGCAAACTTACAACTTTCCAGTTGCATTATACATGTTTGCACATCCATTGGAAAATTTTTTAGATCCATTGGACAGGACAGTATTAAAGTCAATCTGAAAGAACACAAAAAAAGAAAATTAAAAATATACCATAAAATACCATAGGAAGAATGCATGAAAATATTGGAAGTCATTAGGAATCAAAGAAAATATTTCTTTTTTTTTTTTTAAATTAAAAAGCTCTCAAAAGTGATATAGATTATCTGAACCCATTTCACTCACTCAGCCTAGTTTGATGATGTGGAAAAAAAATTATGACAGACTTTAAAAAACAGTTTTTCAGTAGGGTTGCCTAAGTCTATGAGAAGTCTTAAGACATGTAACAACAGCATGCTTTTTTGTCTTACAGCAGAATTATTGTACTGGTACAGTGTTTCAAACATAAAATTCACCCAGAGTTATGAGAATTTCATAACAGATGTCAGCTGCAAATCAGGATGGCAAAGTAATTTATGTGTTATTGTCCTAAAATAAGGTGCTTAAATTGTCAGAAAAAGGTGTAAAATAACATTTTATGATGGCACACTGAAACATGCCTGTAATTTTGAACTGCAGCTGTGCTTCATGTTAGTCCTGATACTTCCTGTTAAACGCTTTACAACCTATAGGCAAAAGGGGTATTTTTACTTTTTATATCAATATAGTAACTTATCTTTAAAGTGGTACTTCTGGTGAAGGGTCTGGAGAATAAGTCTAATGAGGAACAGCTGGGGGAACTGGGGTTATTTAGACTGGAGAAGAGAAGGCTATGGGGGACCTTATTGCTCTCTACAGCTACCTGAAAGGAGTATCAGTCTCCTGCGGATAGGTCTCTTCTCCCAAGTAACAAGCAATAGGACAAGACAAAATGGCCTCAAGTTCCACCAGGGGAGGTTTAGACTGGATATTAGGAAAAATAACTCTTCACAGAGAGAGTAATCAGCTATTGGAACAGGCTTCCCAGGGAAGTGGTGGAATCACGATCCTTGAAAGTGTTCGAAAACTCTGTAGATGAGGCCCTCAGAGAGATGGTTTAGTGGTGGCCTTGGCAGTCCTGGGGTAATGGTTGGACTTGATGATCTTAAAGGTCTTTGCCAACCTAGTTGATTCTATGGATCTAAGAGGTAAAGGCACATGTTTTTCCTCATTGACATTCTCTAGGTATCCATTCATCATCCAGTGTCATGACTGCACCTTCATTTATCAGGTCAGATGATAGAATATTCTTGAAAAACCTCACACAACTCATTCCCCTGTTTTTGGATTAAGGGCTAAAAGGAAGCGGACAGTAGGTGGCAAGGGTAGCTGTGTATTTCTTTTATTTTATTTTCTCAGTCTCCAAAGCTTCTTGATTCTTTGTTGCTATAACTTTTGTTTAGTTTGCCAGTGACAGAGCTGCCAGGAGAGAGCCTGAGGAGGGAACTCAGACCCAGACCTTATTCTCATGCCATTAAAAATGGTCCCATATGCAAAATCTGACTAGTAGGCTAGTAACATGGCAAGTAATTTCAGAGAAGAGGCACCTAGACTTTGCTTTGTGCTTCAGTAAATATTTTAATATTTTATATTAAGTGTTCATTGAAACAAGAACTGGAACTTTCTTATTATTTTCACTGGAATATTATAATTCCAACAAAATTAGAGGAGGAGGAATCATTAGGAAATGAATGGAAAATGAAAATTTAGAAACATTCTCCTTTTTTTCCTTTTAATATTAAATCTGGCATGTTAACAATTAACATGTCTCCCCTTATCAAAAGCTGAACTGACTCAACTAGATGGCAGTTATAAGATTTTTAAATCTGTTTCAGAAACTGTAATACTTCTTAATTAAATCATGGCAACAGAAACTTTCTGGCTTCATAAGAAACACAGCAGCTATATGGCATCTGCTTTCATCACGGTCAATGGTTGCTTTTATAATTTAATATTACAAATTTCTTATGTTTGTTTTCTTCCTCCCATTTCATATGACCCTGAATTTGGTCTGAATTCTGTTGAAGTTGCAATCCAAACTTGCTTTAGCTGAGTGGTGCTGTCTACACCCTGTGTTGTACATATCTGGAGGGAGCAGGGCAAGGAGAAAGAGTTATTTAACTAGAGTGGAAAAACTGCCAGTGCCTCTCAGGGTGATTCAGACAGTCTGGAGATAATTGATTTACCTCTTCTTTCTACTTTGGTCCAGAGAAGGAATAATTTTTACTTGCTTTCCATCTGTTTCTAGTGACAGAATACATGTTGTGACACCGAAGAATGATTATGTTCCCAGACTGGCAGACTAACCCCTCTAGGATATGAAATACACACAGGAATTTTAATCCAACCCTTTCTCCCTATGTAAGCTTGACAAGACACTGCCTACTTGTACTGCAAGGAGGGAGGAGGCTCCCTTGCCACTGATACATCCATGCAAATCACAGATGTTTTGTTTTTCTTTTAGTATACAAACTGCTTCACAAATTCTCGGTGTCTCTTCAAAAAGTCCAATTACCCATTAATGCAGTCTCATAAAAGCATGCAAAGCAAAACACTAACTGGATAAGAGGCATATTTATTTTAAAAAGTGTAACATTTTGCACAAGTAGGTCACTGTACTGATATCAAATCTATACTGCCTTATGGGGCTTTAGTATACTTATACCCAATGTGTTTCTCACTACATCAGGTTTTTGAAGATAGTGATAAAATGCCTACTAATGTCAGTGTCAATAAAAGGAAAGTGGTGAGAAGAGAAAAGAAGTAGGATAACTAGATTTTGTCAATACTTATGATTGCTGCTTACAGCTTCTTAAACCTTTTCAAAACTTTACTTCCCACTTTTCTCTCCATTTCCAGCAGTAAGTGATCTATTCTTTAAATGTCATGCTTCCTCAAACAGGTCATGTTTCCATGTTGAAGTGCAACTGAAATATCCAAAAGGGTGAGAAAGAAATAAAATTGAACATTGGAGGCTACAGCATGTGAAACTCATACATAGGCCAGTTCAGATTATAACATTCCAGGATTATTTACTCTGTGCAAGTGTCCTAGCTCCATTAGGCTCAATATCTGTATTTTAAAATGGGAAATATACTTTTCTTACTATTTTTAGTATTAACAATGGACAGTAATGATGATAAGGTTCGGTATTCAAAAGTCACAACTACTTGAGCAATAGTTCTACATGACTAGCAATTGAAGATATCCATTAGAATTTAGGTACATTTTTGAGCTTCTGTCTGCAAAAAAAATCATTTGATTGTATACTCACCTGATGGAATAAAGTACATTCCCATTTTTGAAAATTCGCAACAACTTGTTATCTGTTGTAACTTCATGAAAGTTGGCACCTTTTTCATTAGCAAAGAACAAATCGGGTTTCCAAATTGAATCCAACATGGATGGATCTAAGTCTAAAGAGTCATCTGGATATTCACTGTATGCGAGGCGTGGATCATTCCAATTCTGTCGGAGAAAGATGTTCACTCGGTAATCCTGAATGAAAGAGAAAACAAGCAAGGATTTATCAAGCATAGGGATTTAGCTTTTATTTCATTTCTTAGCCATGTAATCCCCTGTCCATCTGTGGATGACAAAAGTATTACTTAGCTGAATACCAGCATGATACCTGTTTGTATTAGTGGGGACACAATGGATAAGAATAAAGATGTATTCAGGGCAATTGAAAAAATCCCAAGCAAAGAAAATCCAGCCTCCATGTACAGTTCATATAACTCCATATAAGTCTACCTCTACAGCAGCTTTGTTTTGAAGTCAAAATGAGAGAAGCATAAAAAGAGTTTTATGGAGTTACTTTTCCCTGCCCAACTGCTGGGTGGGGGGTGGGGGGGGCAGTCCCTCTTCCCTTTGTTTGACAATGAGAAGCTGTTCCACTGCAAGGGAAGTTAATTTAATATATTTTTTCTCTCTCTAATCCTTACATATTTTAGATCCACCACTTAGACTTCCTGTGCCTCAGTTCCCTGTTGAAAATTGTGTGAGCAGTAAGTTGCCAGACAACTGAGGAATATATATGTTCCTCCTCTCAAATATAGTGGAGATAGTAGAATCATGGAATGGTTTGGCTTGGAAGAGACCTTAAAGATCTAGTTCCAATCCGCCTGCCATGGGCCAGGACGCCTTCCACTACACCAGATTGCTCAGATCCCCATCCAACCTGGCTTTATATAAGATCATAGAAGTCCTTATGGTAAATTAGCTTAAGTACAAGTGGAGTAAGCTTGATTCCTACAGACAGTCCTACCTTAATCAGGCGTATTTTTATAGAAAAGACAAGGGTAGGTGCTTCAAGCACCTAGAAGTAATTTTAGAGTTGTATATACTCTCTGTCAGAGACAATATAGTATTTATGGCTGCACACTTTCTTCAAACTTAACCACTCTGAAAGATGAGAGTATTGTTTTTCATAAAAATGAATGTTAGCATCTCATTATGTTATATCAAGAACTAAGAGAACTGAGCATAGGAACATAGAAACTATACTTTTAAAAGCAATTACTTTTCTTTTTTTAAAGGAATGAATTATTTTTTTAACCCCCCATTCCAGAAAAGGACTGAGAGAAAATTTCCTTCTTTTTCTGACTAGTGGCAGCCTCAAGAGCCATAAAAATTTCTTAAGAGAAACTATTAGTATTTTTCATAATTAGCACCATGGCATGATGAAACCAGAGCCAGGGATTCTTTTTTTTTTTTTTTTCCTAAAGTAAGCCAAAATCCTTAGACAAGTTTGTGCTCAGTGGTCATAAAACTTAGCTTTTAGTGCCTTCCATGTAGCAAAAAACCATAATATCCCCTGAAATATCCCTATTTATTTGCATGATATCCCAAATACCAAATAGTACTAGTTCTCCTTCCAAATTCCTGTTTAAAATCAAAGGCCAGGAAGAAGCAGGATGTGGGAGCAGTGAGGGCTCTACTACCTGTCCGAACATGTGGAACGCTTATACTAAAGGAAGCACTAGCTCTAAACCTGGGGCTCTGGGTGTGAGCACTGCAGCTCTCAGGACTTCCTCTGCACTTCATCCAAACCCAGCACTTACCTTTTAATTTGTATAACCTGAAGTATGTCTATTTATTTTACCTTTCTCTGTAAAATATGATGAATTTCTAAATGGGAGTTCTCATACGTATAAGACAGAACAGGTGGAAAATGCATAGCACAAAGCTGAGTGAAAATGGAGCAAGACAAATGGAAGAATCTGTTCTAGGTTATATTAAGCCATTCTGTATGTCATTTTGCATAAAGTTTATTGGTTTAAATTGTTTCAAGCTCTTAGAATGAAAAGAATCCATGTTAAATTTTTTACAGAGGCAAGTGAATCTATTTTTCACTGTTCTCTCCCTTGAAAAGTCTGACTTAAATTGGCTCTCATTATTCACTAAAAAAAATTCCTAGTCTATCAAAAGGAAAGAGAGATATTGGACTGTTATCATATGAAAGACAAGTATTCATAATTTCAGTTTATAATTACACATTGTGAATATAAGGCTTAACTGCTTTAAAGAAGTGGAGTTGCCTGGTGCAAACACAGAGACCAGAATTCAACTGCCAGAATTGATTTGTTTTCCTGCAAGAGGATTGTTATTCTCACGTGCTACTTGCTTGGAGGGGGTGACTCCCAACTCAAATAACTGTGTGCTGGGGAGGTTCCCTGAAGGGAAAGA